ACACACACACACACACACACACACACACACTCCCCTACCTTCTAGGAAGGCAACTGCTTGCCAAAACACTTTTCTGTGGGCAAAGTACATTCACGTTCACACTACAGATTTAAGCATGAGCAAAGTAGAGGAAGACAAAGGCAGAAAAGGTGGACAACAGTAGAGGTGACTGGAAACACTCAGTGGCCTGATGAGGCAGGGAGGGTGTGGTCATGGACCAGGTGAGATAGGCCATCAAGAAAAACCAGAACGGTGACAAATGCTGCATTTATCCACCTCTAATGGGGTTTGGTGCCTTCCCACAGAAGCAGGGTAACCTTGCTAGTCTGCTGATAAAATTTAGTGTTTTCTTAAACAGCCTTAATTACCTTAAGTGTTCATGCTCACGCTTTGACAGTAGAGAGACATTCATATGATAACATGGAACCTAATTATGCATTTAACATTGTAAACATTCAACGTTTAATCCCATCCCTTTTTTGAGATGCAGTGAGTGTCATGATTAAGACCACGGGCTTGAGGGGCAAGACGCCAATTTTTACATCCAAGCTCCTCCAAGACACTTTCTGTATCCCAATTTCTTTATCTGTAAAATGGAAATAATAATAATAGTACCTAACTCATAGGTTTAGTTTGAGGAGTAAGTGAAACAGTATACTGCTGGTGCTTAAGGAGAAGAACTGCCCTATAAATGCTAATTGTTTTATTATTATTATAATTATTATTGAAATAGGTTTTTCTTCGACACATTTCGCATGGGAGTTCAAAAAGAGGAATAAAACAGGTTTCCTTTACTCTGAGGCAATAACAAGTGCACAGAGAAAGGGGCTGGGGAGAGAGATGAGAAGCAACGGCGAAAATGAAGCGTTGACAGTATTTGTGTATCTCTTTCAATTATTCTGGGTACCTGTATTCTATGTCACCATGAAAACCTGAATGACTGTCACAACCTTTCTGATACTGGCAGTAAGGGTGAAGAGTATTCCATTGGGCTTAGCTGTCACTTTTCTCTAAGCCCACTTATGAGAGGGAGGAGAGAAGGGTATTACTGCCTTCTCCCAACTCCCTTCACAGCCAGTTCTGGGGAAAAAATTTTTTTCAGGGGTAAACGATATTCTAGGCCTCTCCCTCTCACAAATCGAAGCTGCTGCCTGCTGCCATTCAGATACTGACAAAATTAAAAATGAAAGCATCAGGGCCGGCCGAGTGGCTCGGTTGGTTAAGAGCTGGCTCAAGAGTGTGCGCTCTGAGCAACAGGGGTTCAAGCCCCGGCCCGAGCTGAGCTGCCAACAGGTGGCAGGATGGCTCAGCTTAAAAAAAAAAAAATGAAAGCCTGACTGTCATCTAAAAAAAAAAAGTCTTCTTTACTCTTACTCGTACCCAACTCTTCGTCTTCAGAAGGGAACGCGGCAAACCAGAGTTACCTTGCGAGGTGTGTGTTTCCGAGTAGTGTTCGCCACACTGGACGTGCATCGGAGGCAAGATGTACGGCTGCTGCCGGGGCTGAAACAGAAAACACAGCACAGGTGCATAGGTAGGTCTTGGCGCAAATGGCCGCCAATCTCATGGAGAACCAGCAGGGCACATGACAGTCCCCATCGGTCACCCACATCTGCAGGGAAGCACTCTGCGGCTGCTCTCCCTGCCTACCCTTGACCCAACCCTCTTCTACTCATCACTTGTAGGGCTGGAGAAACGAGAAGCGAGGAATAAGGAGGCTGGCTCAAGGGGAAGAAGAGAGAGGCTACAATCAAGATGAACAAACACATCTACTCATCATCTATTTTCTAATACACTTGCAAAGCTCCCAATGCCTTTTTTTTAAAAAAAGGAATAACACAGAACACATATATTAGTATGTTCCACCTAACAAATAATGAGAAGAAGGGGGAACCGGGTTTCATGCTATTCAAAACCAGCTCCCTCCTGGATCCACAGCTCATACACATCGTCACAGCTGCACCTATGACCCCAGTGCCACATCAGCCTCAAATAGGGACGGGGTAGTGTTAGGCTGGGCCCACTTGCAAATGTATATAAAAATCTGAAACGTGATCTGCAGCAATGACCGTGTGAGTTCTCAAGACCACATATTGAGCCCCCGACTGCAGAACCAAATGTTGAAAGGCCTTGCACAGAATCCAGTTCAACCATATACCCCTTCAGTGAAGAATCTTTTCCATAACGCTCCTAAAAATGGCCATTTTAGACTCAAATCTGAATAGCTTCCTGCTGCAGAGAAGGGTAAAACTTTTAAAGAACAACAAAATCATGCTTAGCTGGGTTCAATATTTAGTGAGCCAACAAAGAAAATAATATGATTATTTTAGTCACTAATGTGACCCAGAGCAAGTCATTTAACGTCAGTAGGTCTCAGCTTCCTATCAATCAAATCAAGCCTCCTCCACCTCAAACATGACCCATTTTTTTAATATACTGGAGTTCCAGGTGAAAGGTTGTTTAAAGAGTTCTGATGTTAAAAAAATTTGAAACTTTAAACTTGTAAACCACCAAACAGGATGATCTCTTGTATTCTATTTGAGACATTAGTTGAAATGTTACCACTTTAGGAGAAAAGCAGAGAGCAAGCCAAAAAAAAAACAAAAAAAAAAACCCAAAGCCAGCACAGGGTCACACTTTCTCAGCATCCCTCAACAGAGGAAGAACAACCCCCAAACTTTGAAGCTGGGTAAGTAACTCATCTACCATCACCCCTGCTACAAATAATGCTTCAGCATCAAAAGGGCAAATGAAGAAGGTAATAAAGACAAGGGATCCAAAACTTATGAAGAATCAGGGGCAAAGGACTAAAGAATTGAAATTCATCTAACAAACTAGTTTTGGGTACCAAAGGAAAGGTGCTATATCAGTTCTCCAAAATATTCCCAAATCTCCTTTTGGCTGGTTTTTGTGTTGCAATTTAAAAATAAATTTTCCTCTTCTTGGTAACACAAAATTCAACTCAATTTTTCCAGGGTAGACTTAAAAAAAAAAAAAAACCCACGGGAAGGAATTCCTAACAAAGGAACAGAAATACATGGCAAGGCAAACTGGTTCACTGCCTTCTCTTGCTCTTATTTAAAAACAAAATTTTTCTGAGCTGCCAACAGGTAGCAGGATGGCTCAGCTAAAAAAAAATAATAATAAATAAATAAATAAATAAATAAAAACAAAATTTTTAAAAACCCAATAAGTAAGGAACCATTGATGAACTGGCATAGGTCTACAGGCAAAGGACAGTAATAAATAACCCTCCCAAGACCATATCAGGATTATATTCTATCTCCTATATATTCTAATATGTTACTCTATTTCTCCTATATTCCATCTCCTATATATTCTAATATGTTATTCTATTTCTTTCCAGACCTGCTAATACAGAAACCAATTCGATGCCATAATATAGGCAGCAGATGGGCAAGAGAAAAACAGCAATCAGCAGTGCTGGTTATCAGCAAGGATGCCAAAAGGAGACAATGTTATCTGGTTTTCCTCTTACTCATCCCAAGGGACCCTTGGTGAAATGGTTTAATCCTAAAGTGCAGAAGACAGGGAGAAGCCATGAATCTGGCTTCCTGGAGACTTTCTTCATCTAAATAAAATAGGAATGGCTCTCTCTGTATCTTCTCTAGATAACTGGGATGAGATCAGATCACATGATCACCTTACAACACTTTGCCTCCCATAGTGCTTCACGGATATAAATGAAAATTATCTCACTAGTTAAGACATGTGGACTCTAAAGAAGGAAAAACGAAAAGAACATTAACAAAGGAGTAATTAACAAAGAAACCAAGGCCACAAACGAATCTACTGCACCAGAGAAAAAGTGCAAAGTGAACCCCTAGGTCTCCAAGACAAGGGACACTTGTGAGATACAGTACATAGTGTCAAGATTAATAGTCTTCGTTGGGTACTCAGGAATTATTATGTGATGATATAATGGCCCAACTCTAGGGTTCTAGGAGTTTGTGTCTATGCATTTTCCAGGGGAAAAAATTCCTCAAAACTTTCCTTTTGAAAGACAAGTTAGAAATATACAGTTCTTCTATACCCTATATACATTGTGTACGAAGACAAATTCAATTTTGTTCTCCTATCAACTCGAAGGAACTGTTCATCAAGAAAAATTAAAAGGTCACATTATTTTGATGATGTATAAAAAAGTCATACGCTAAAAAAATTATGAATTAAAACAAATAGAAAACGTTAAAGGAAACCAACTCTTCCACACCTTTCTATTATATTACCCTTAAGTAATCCTCAAAAATAAAACACAGCCTAAGAAAAACACATGTATTGAAATTAGAGTTGTCTTTCCTTATTCACATGATGAAAAGGGCAGTTAAAAACAAACAAACCAAAAGCTGATGCTAAGTAGAAAGTGAATCAATGGAAATTGTTGGCCTTAAAATTAGAAAATGTGCAATTAATCTTCCCCACCGAATACTCTGAGACCATCAACCAGCCTCATTCATTTTCTGTTCATTTAAAAAGCATTTCTGACTAGCTTCTTAAGCTCTATCTATGGCAGTGAATACAAGAGAATTTGTGGGGCTTATATCTGAAGACACGTCTACCTGCAACAACCAGAAAAAGTGATAAAACAACAGATGCAAATGAGTCGATAGAAACAGTAGGTTGCAAGATGAAGGAACATGGTCTCATCGGCCTGGAATAAGTCTTACTCATGGGGCTGAACCTTGGGCCACACTTAAGAGAAGTGACGGACATAGGTGGGCACAAGTGGGAAAAAGATGGATGTGCATCGCACCTGCTTGGCAGACTGATGCCCCTCTGTGTTCTCACCACATCTTACCTGGCCATAATGCCTTAGACACCTCTCCCTTCAAATGAGCAACAAAAGGGTACTCCATCCACCAATAGTCAGACTACTTGATTACTGAGTATTTTATACATACCAGAGAGGATCGGCTCCAAGTGGGCTGACGTCTGATGGGGGGTGGAGAATTTGATTGTCTACATGAAAAGTTGAAAAAATGAGGGTGGTTATTATTATTTACCAGATACAAGAAGATTAGATAGCTAGACAAGAGAGAAAGAGGGGGAAACAGACAAGATGAGTAAGACTTATAACAAAACATAGACATTATCTATTTCTGGGTGGTGACGTTAAGAATTCTGATTTCCTCTTTTACTCTTTTATTTTCAAAATGTTTGGGACATATAATAGTTTAATAAGTTTTACAAAGCAGAAGAATAAACTTATTTCTAAAGAAAGATGAGGGAAATAAGGCTGAAACATTTCACCATTACATGGGTTTTAAAAAATTGTATTTTTTTACCTTTGTACAAGTGTAAAAACTTTCATAATAAAAAAAAAGAAAATTTTTAAGATGCTACAAGTGAAATGAAAATCCAAAATAAATATTTTTGAGGTATAAAGGTTCTTTTCATGAAGATAATACATATTGCAAATTTTCATTGGATCGGATTCTTTCCAGACAGAATCAAGATGAATTTTTTTGATTGTAGAGATAAAAATGAGTGGGGACTAAGAATATTACCAAATTCTTGAGAACTGAAATCAAAGGTGCCTTTAAGAAACAAGTACAAATTCCAGAATAACATTTTCCCCCATCCTCACTGAAACCATGAAAAAAAAAAAAGAACATACAGGGTTTTCCATCAAGCTAAAATGTTAGGTAGAAAAGTAGATCAATTCAAATTTTGTTGGCCTTAAAATTAGAAAATGTGCAATTAGTCTTCCATTTAAATCTCCTTATTCTGATATTTAATCTTTGTTACCTTTTTGGGATAAGCTTTTGTTTGTTTGTTTGTTTTAATGAAATGATTGAAACAATATAGTTATATTGAATTTTTTTTTTAACTGGCAAAATACAATACTACTAGACTTATTGTTAAACATTCTTCCCTCTCCCCTTCCCCAATTTTTTTCTCCCCAAGTCAAGAAATATGGGAACCATTGCCTGGAACTGTATCTGCAGACGACAAGTAATGACTCTGTTAGGGGGGAAAAAAAAAAATCAATGACTATCTTAGAACTCAGAGTGGAGACCTCAGGAGACAGATGCTGTTAAGATGATGCTAGTACCATAAAACTCCAGAGGTATCTCCCAGGTCTTAATGTAGCCTGTGCTGAAACTGACGCTGTATACAGAATTTACTGTGTGGTGGTGTGTGTGTGTGTATATACACTTTTAAGACAGTCCCAGTTTTTTGCAGGTAAGAGGTTAGGAACCTCTCGTGCCTGGTTAGGAAGAAGAAAGGAATGGTTATTGCAAAAGTAGAAAGGAAAAAAATATAATTTCCTTAGTTTTTAGACTAATATATGAATGTCTACTAATACTCGAAGAAAAGGCCACAAAAGAAGTACAAATAATCAATAGATTTTATAATAAAGCCACTTGCTGAGAAATGGGTCAAACCAGAATTTTACACTTCTCCAAAGAGTTTTCTTTAATTCATCCTACAGAAGTCAACTACAGAATTGTTGTTCATGTCAAACCCCCACAAATCAAAGTAGAACTGCAAACAAATGACCTAGAGGGAATCCATTCAAAAGAATGGCGTCCCTAAGCTAGATCTGGTGACTTAATGGGCCACTCCCTGATCTGTGCCGCTTCTGACTTACATTTGCAAACTTTGCTGGCAGATCTATTATTATCAAATACACTTTCAGACTCTGACAGTGGCCAATTGCAGTGACTGGTTTGAAAGAGCCCCCATCACAGAGAGAAAAAAGTCTGGCAGGGCCTGATGATGCAGTTCTAAAACCCACTCTTCAGCAGGAACCGATTTAGGACAATACTGTGACACTCTCGGATGTGTCCTCTGGGGGAGTGGAAAAGCAGTTCTTCTCTTGCATTTACATCCCTGAAGTTCTTTGAAACAAAATTAAACACTTTGGGCGCCCCATCCGCTGAGGTGCTCTGCTGAGGAAGACCTTTTGAAGGCAACCCAGGTAAAGGCAACAATAGCGTGCGCCCCAGCACGCCGTACCCAAGGTCAGGTCACATTTAAGTTCTCTCGTCAGACTCCCTTTATCGTCTTTATTTCCAAATTAAATTGAAAACACACACACGGATTTGTGACATCTATTAGTGTCTTCCAAGTCTTCCTCTAATTACCCTGGCCTCTCATTTACAGGCAGATGACATGACCCAGGAGCACACGCAGGGTTACCCAACTGTGTAAGCGAAACGGGGCTGAGGATGACAGGAGCGTCTTCTCTTTCAAGTTGGCTCGTCACTGTGTCACACACTTCTGAACAGCCTCCACATCTGACACGAAGGGGCGCCCTGGCAAATTGGGCAACGGCTCACTCCTCCAAACTCATCGTAGAGGTTGGAAAGGCACTAATGCGAGCCAACCCATCCAGGCAGTGAAGCGTTCACAGTCAATTTGTGAATTATTTTGTCTCTACACCACACACTCTTCATCATTAAAGTTCTTTCACTCCCGCCCGGCTTTCGCATACTCCTCTAGCTTCCATGAGGAATGAGGGGAAGGAGTGAATGGAAAAAGCAATTTAGGACATTCCCTAAAACACAGGAATTTAGTCTGACCAGGCCATCTCGTGAGAGGGGGGACTATACGTTTACTTACTCAGTGCAGATTTTGTTTTGTTTGTAAAACTTGTGCCGTGTAGCAAACAGCCGGGAAACATACTTGGCGTTTTCAATATCATCCTTGGAAAGGAAGAGACAGAGAAAAAAATAAGTATTTGTTTGATTGTGCATGCACTGCACTCAGATTCCTCTAAACAGGGACACATCCCTTTCTCCCTTCAGGTCAAGCACAAAATAACAGCATGAGCCACGAACCAACGTGCTGAAATTCAGCGAAGGCCACGCCTAGGAAGCTCACCAAAGGGTGACAGACAACACTGTCTGCTAAAGCGTCCTTTATGCCCAAGGTGCTGGGGTTACATTGGTGAACTGGCATGTCTTCACAGAATTCCAAGCCCAGCGCATTAAAAATAAATACATGCATCGAGGCAGAGCATGGAATGAACACCAAGCATCAGTAAACGAGAGGCAGCGAGCTGCTTGAACAGCCTTGGCTCTCGGGGAGGCCCTCAACAGAAGGGCAGTCATTCAGCGGACTTCAAATGAGGCTTGGGCTATGATGGGCAGGAAAGTCCAGGGCAGCCTGCAACAGAAAATGCCATGCAACACAATCAGGGGTTACTTGAGGAGGGCTGTAACTAGAGTGCCACAGACCGAGGCTGGCCAGATACCACGATCCATCACGAGTGAGGCGGGTGGAGGAAATCTCTAAATCTGAGAGTCAAAACTCAGCTTGGAAAGCTGGCGTTTTGAACATGAGATCACTGCCGCTATCCCAGCATGAGTGACGACAGCGCTGGGCAGGTAATGGAAAGGTATCGGTTCAATAGAATGTTTATTCTCTCAAGAAACGGTGAGCAAGGAAAGGCTCTGGCGAGTTGAGAAGTCAAAGGGCGAGCTGCCTGCCGGGCCCGCCTCTGTCCATCTCGCTTACCGTGTGAAAGAGCGCGGTCTCCTCTTTGTTGATGAGCTCCACGAGAATGGTCGACTTGGTGTGAGTGATATTTCCAATGTCGTTCCACCTGGTCAAAAGAAATGTAGCTGTGTCTGCCCCAAGACAGTCCACACAGTTATGACATCTGCACGGGAGGGTCATCTGCTACTGCAAATTATGACGTAACTGTATTTTTAAAAGCTCAGGGGCTGGCTGGGTGGTGCAGTTGATTAGAGTGTGAGCTCTGAGCCAAAGGGTCTCCGGTTCAATTCCCACATGGGCCAGTGAGGTGCGCCCAAGCTGAGCTGCTGCTGAGCTGCCAATGGGTGGCCAAATGGCTCAGCTGGTGAGAGTGTGTGCTCTTAACAACAAGGTTGCTGGTTCGACTCCCGCATGGGATGGTAGGCTGTGTCCCCTGCAACTAATTGAAAATGGCAACTGGACTTGGAGCTGAGCTGCGCCCTCCACAACTAACTAGATGGAAGGACAACAACTTGACTTGGAGCTGATGGGTCCTGGAAAAAACACAATGTCCCCCTTCTCCAATTCCCCAATAAAATCTTTTAAAAAAAAAGCTCAATGTCCCTTCTCTCAAGGCAGAAGAGTACAGAAAATGCAACATGCATCTCTTTAAATACCTAAAAATCCTACGTGAACTATGTCTAGATACTGTTGTGCATAAAGTATTATTTCCTTTCTGGCTTGCTATGAGGAAAATTTGCAATGGGTTTCTGCTGCCTTGTTTTTCACAGTTCCAAAAGGACAAAGTATTTCCCATGATCCTGACTTTTCATCATAGGGGAGCACATTATTTAAGTCACGTGTTTCCCGGAAGCTAGGCTGAAGAATCCAATTAGGTTCTGTGTTGCAATGTACATTATTAATTATGCCACCTAGGGGGAAAAATGCATAAGTGGCGAGTGCTTAATATGTCTACACTTTTGTGGAGAAACACACACACACACACACACACACACACACACACACACACTTTCTTCTCTTTCCTCATGGAGCCCTACCTTATCTAAAATGAGATACACAGAAATGGCCACCACACAAGGGAAGGGAAGCTCCTGCTTCCTGTTCTACTCTCAGTCAATTTCTAACCATCTCTCACTACAACCTAGCCTTCACTCATGTCCCAACCGATAATTCCCACCCACTGACTTCACTCCTCCATGCTTGTACTCATTACACTTCTACCTTTGTCTAGATGTTTCCTTGGAGACTCAGCCCAGGGGTCCCCTTTTCCAGAAAGCCCTCCTTCATCCTCAACCATCCATAATAGGGTGCCACCCTTTATCAGTTACCACATTACATTATAACTGTTTACTTCTGTGGCTAGGTCCCTAATAAACCGAACCAAACCACAGGTCCCAAGCCTCGGGTAGGGATTCTGCTTTATTCCTCTCTGTATTCCAAGCACTCAGCCAAGTACCTGGCACACAGCATGCAATAAATGTTTGCTGAAAGAATGAAAAGTGGTAATACTGCCTCCCATCTGTACGGAGTATGGTTCTTTTTATAAACTCCCTAAGGTACACAAGGCAGCTATTTTGTTCCTACTCTGGAGATGAGGCAATTTAGGCACAAATGGGGACATGATTTAGCCACATTCACTCTGACCATTGGGGATGGATGACTTCTATACCTGGGGCTTCCAGATTTTTCTTCCAGTCACCTTTCCGTGACACCAGTACCAACTGTGTTTACGTGCATCTGCTGGGGCCATGATGGCTACAGGTGCTCAGCACAGCTGTCTGCCGACTCACAGTTCCATCAGATTACATCTATACGGACTCTAGCTACATGCTCCTCAGGGAAGGTCTCTAGAGATAAGGCATATTTGGTTTCCTCTGGCTCCATTCCTTCAAATCAACTGCCAAAACTCTGAATCCACTCCTCACTCTGACCACACAACTTCACCTGGTGGCATAATTAGCATGACAGCACAGAGGTGAATTCCCACCTTGCAGGGGTTTCAAGGTTAAGTGCTGGAGGAAGAAGAACTGAGAAGTTCCTAAGGAAACTGCGGAGTGGCTTAGGATCGGTGAACTTTGGAATTGTTTTCCTCTGTTTAACCTTGACAGCAATAATGTAAGACCTGTCTACTTCTTCAGGCTCGAGGTAAAAAATGATGTATTGATTTAGTTATGGAGCACTGGGAGGGACAAAAGGCCTGGAGAGCTTTAAATGGGCATCAAATTTTATAGTTAACAACTCTGCCCATATTTCTGTATTTTACTCAATTAATTTATAATTTGCTGTAGGCATACTGGAGTTGACGGAATAGATCCCAACGTCAAATTTTATTCTGTGGCCCTCTCTCTCCCCCGACTCCCACTTCAATAATGTCTCTATTCAAAGAGCAAGAGAAAATAAATGGACAAAAATAATGGCAGGGTGGGGACCTAGGGAAGGAAAAAGCCAATTAGGAAGCTTTTGCTGGGAAAATTTTCTCAAAATGACCTGCAGCCACTGCTGGCCAGGGGGAACACGTCTGGCCACGATTTGCTTCCAGAAGGTGGACTGCATTTCCCCTCTAAAAGGTGTCTTTGCCCATCTGCCTGGGGTGCATACCTCTGCCTATCAGATGCACATGCAAGAAAGCTATTCTTCCAGTAAACACTAGGCCATATTCCCTTGTAAATAAGAGCGAGCATGTAATTTTTTTTTATCGTTGACACAAGGACTCTATGGGCAGCAGCACAAAGCAAGCTCACTTACATGTAACGGAGAGGACGCTTTGCCACACCCCTATCTACACTTGTTCAACTCATGTGAAACGGAAGAGGGTGAAAGTGTCGAAATAGTAAAAAAGTACCTAAGTTTTAAAATTTGTAACAAACTGATCGCTTTTTTCAAAACACACCTTCACAACCAATCCCCTTTTGTGAATATAAAAACTAGCTTGCCGTCTTCCAGCACCAGACCTGTCGTTAGGCAGAGGGTGCCGGTCCATGGGAAGACGCCCATGTGATTGTAATGACTGGTCATGGATATCCCAGCACAGGTAATCAGCAGGAAAGGACTGGAGGACCTATTTCCAACCAGACTCATACAATTTAGTTCCCATTCTTCTTGCTCAGTGGGGTTCAACAATGCATTTCCTGGAGTCAGGTGGGAATAAAGCTACCCCACTCCCCCCACCCAAACAGGCCCTCCAGGAGATACATTTCTCCAGCGCCACTTAAATCCCACAGAGGACTGATGGGAACTGAGCTGAGAAAAGCGCAACTCATTTGTGTAACTTTCATAATCAGTAGGTTTTTCTAGAGTCCCTTCAAAGGGAAAAAGAAAAGAAAAGGGGCAAATTAGACTACCTGTGTATGACTGCTTGTCTTCCAATTCTGTTTCTCACGAAAATCCCCATAAAGAAAATGCCCAGGTGCACACTGTTTCCATGATTGTCCTGCACAAGATCAATAAAAGAGAGTTGTGATGAAACAGATGGCCGGCATCCGGCATCAGGGAGCACCCAGCGCTTGGGCGGCAGCCCACCCACGGGGACCACGCCCCGTCTCTCGCCCTTAAATGGAATGAATCACAGCCATCCGGGCAATAAGGCAACTAGATCCTGAAGGGACGCACCCCACCGAACAATCCTAATGGACGACTACACACTTTTTCCTTTTGCTCAATTCGTTGCAACACATTTCCTGCTTAAAAGAATTTTAGGATTTTCTCAGATTTGTTGGTAGTGCAGATTTTCTCTTTCATGAACAACTATTAATATCTTTTTTGAACCATAGTTGTCCTTCTTTAAATCAAAACTGTACATGCACACAGTTTGATTATATAGGCACATTACATTAAGTACAATCATATATGCAGTCAGAAGAACTGAATATTCCTTAGTTTGTTTAAGAGGAGCCAATAGTAGACCTGGCCCAGCAATTTCCTCTCCCTCAGAGGCACCAGTTTCCATCACTTACAGCCCCAGTGTGTGTCAGTGTGCATCTACCATACCTCAGCTGTTTTATTTAGAACCTCATCCGTTCTGGGATATTTTCTCGAAGTTACTATACCTTGTTTCCCCTGTTCACTCCTTTTAGAGTTCTCATTATTCAGATGTTAAACATCCTGGTCCGGCCCTCTAATTTTATGTCCTGCCTCCCACGTTCCATCACTTCATTTTTGTTGGTGTGATTTTCTTAATGTTATCTTCTCACCTATCTATTAAGTTTTCCATTTCTGAAATCATATTTTTAATTTCTGAGAGTATGTTCCCTTTTAAAAGCAATCAATTCCTTTAAGGAGGACGTGTGTGTATTTATTTATTTATTTATTTAATCTCTGGGACTCTGAGGATGGTATTTGGGGCAGGGGTTTCTTCACCCTGCAGGGTCTCTGGCTTCCAGGCTGCTCTGTTGCCAATCTGTTGGCCTCTGTGGTTTCCACTAGGGCATCAGGCAGGGTGCTGCTTAGCTACCTCTTCCCGTTCCAGGGTGCGATGCTAAATGCTGACTGAGAGGCATGCTGACTGTAGATTTCACTGTCGGGCCACCGGCTCCGCCCTGTGTTGAGGAAACCAGATGTCTCATCTTCAGTCTGGTTTCTTGGTCCAGCCAGGTGCTTCCAACCTCTTGCCGGGGAAAGCACACCTGGCTGCCAGTGTTCTTGAGAGCGGAGTGGGAACAAGGCTCCACATCCAGAGAGGACACTGTCATTTGGCCCCGCTTTCACTAAAGAGGTGTCTTCTTTGTGGAGGGAGAGGCAGGCCATGCATAACTAAGCCCAGGATGGAAAAGACAACTTCCACAGCCTGATAATACTAAGCACGTTTAAGACACAAAATGACAGAGAGCATCCTTTCTCTGTGACCTCTTCTCAACCCACCTACCAAAGCTTACGCTGGAATAGGAGTCTTCTAATAGGGACAGAGAAAGTGTGACGCAACTGCTGGTGGCCAAAGCAGAAAGAGTGCTAGGAGATAAAGAACTGGGAAGGAAAAAAGGGGCCTTGGTCATTATGAGAAATTAAAAGTCAAGTTATACAACAGAAAAATACACGTGGGTAAAGAAGATAAGTGAAGTGGAGATGGGAAGAGGAAAGAAAATTCTGTGGAAAGACTTCCCTGGGCACTCTGCCACTAGATCGGTGCCCAAGTCTGATGTGACGGGGGACACAGGAAAAGCAGTTCAGCAGGGCGGGGCAGTGGGAAAAACACAGAACGGGTGCCTGAGGCACTGCACTGGTCAAAATGTAAGGGTTCAAGGTTTCAGCTTCGCCAAGGATCAAGGCTCCAGACTCTGTGTGACTCATCCCAGAAGCACCCTCCCCATGTCCCAGTGCTCTGACAATACAGGAGCGACTGAGGCACGGCCACACCTGTGTTCATGGAAGAGGACGGCAGACCTGTCAGAAAGTCGTAAGTCCCTGACTGGTACTCCTCCAACCTTGAAAAATTTTTGAGGAACCACTCATGGAAAAGTCCCCAGGCAATGGAAATGTTTTCCCTAGGACCGATGCATACCACGCTTTTTTTCCTCTTTTCTTGGTCAATAAGGACCTGTGCTGACCCACAGGGTCTCCATCACCGCTCCCAGTCTGTACCTGCCTACTGTCCTGTCTGCTTTTTCACTGTCTCAGAGCTGACCACTCACTTCCCGCCACTGGTGCTGCTGACCCACCCGTCATCCTGGGCTGGCTTGCCAGGAATCACGTGACCTTCGTCATGACTAGATATGTGGGGCAAAGAAAAAAGAAGCCAGCTGATGTGCGCCCACTGGCAGCGAGTCAGCACTGTAGCATCCCCCTTGGGCTTTCCCACTAAAGAACAGACTAGAAAGTGCATCAGGCCCAAGCACAATGGATTTCAACACTATCTCCACGGCCCCTAGTTCCCATAATTTAGAAGTACTAAAACCAAAACAAGCAAATGGCCACCACAACAAAAACCCCAAGTGCCTGGGATTTGAGGAGTCAGTGTTCTAGAAATGGAGAAAAGTTTACTCTGATTTTTCAATGGCCCAAAATATCATGCCTATATATGGGCTGCTGAAATGTAAGTGGGATGCAGATGGCTTCAGAAGGCATTATTGCAAGGAAAATGGATTATGCCCTGACGAAGGGCAGCTATTAGAGAAGCAAAAGAAAATTAAACAAATCTAAAAAAGAGCCATTTAGCCCTTTTCGCAAGCTGCGGCCACCCTGTTCGATTCTCCTTGATGCACATGGGCAGTTCTCATTAAGGCAAATTGCAAATGTGCGAAAGAGGGGGAGCAGAACACGTATAAAGCAGCCAGCGGAGCCAGTCTGGAGTGAAATGTTTGTGCTGAAATGGCAGGCGTCTCCCAAATTGCTGAAATGTGCCAGTTGCTTTCCGGTTTTTGATAAAAACTCCGACTTTTGTTAAGTTGGTAGGCAGAGAAAAGAAAATGAGTTTGGGTTATGGGCTCGGCTCTTGAAAAGACCATCGTGCACCATGACCCCCTGCCCCCCAACCACACCCACGTCAGGAGGTGGATTTGTTGCAAAGGACAGGATGTGCTGTAACCATTTCCTAGGTATAGTTTCCAGAAAACACCAAAGGGGTTGTAAACCCAAAACAGAGGCCCTGTAGAGCAGGCAAAATAAAGCAAGACTGCATACAGGAAGTGTCTCATTCTACCCCACAAACAACCTCTGTATAGAAGAGAAGAGAGAATAAGCACCGGGTCTTTATCGAGGCACATGTGACCTTAGCTACCTGTCCTGTAGTAAGGCTAGGAGTGTGCCTTGGTACCTTCACGGTGCTGGATGGGCTGGTGCTTGATACTCACTCAGACGGTTGTCTTATAAATGAGAGAGCTTTCTGCTGAAGGCCACGGGAAACTTCAAAATGTCTTAGTGATGGAAAAAATCTTTGCTTTACTAAAGTCAACTGGACTTGCCAGCTAATGCCACGTGGCAGTAAGAAAGCCGAGCCCTACTGGCCTGCTGCTATAATATCAACACTGGTTTCCCAAATGTCTGTGCCATTCTGAGAGGGCGAAGCCAAGGACAAGCCAGGGTACGCTACCTTCACAGGGAAGATTTCCTGTCCAAAGCCATCCAAACGCTCCACTTCGTTGATGTACATAAGCTCAGCTTCGGGGGGCAGGATTCCACTAAAATCAAAAAGCACCAATGGAGGAAATGGTTAAAGGCAAACAAAGGCAGTGGAAGACCCGACACCTCTGGATGGCAAATTCCAGAGCTGTGGTTTAGTTCTGGGAAGAGCTATCATCACCCAACTGTGAGATCTCCCTGCATCACTAAGCAAGTCATTAACATATTCCCCAGGAGCCTTTTACTCATCAGGGAATAATAAGAGGAAGGTGAAGTATTTAATTAAGAGCCACAGCCCTATAAAGACAAATGACTAAATAGCTATTCCAGACATCCCTGAGAATAATGCTGCCTGCTTTTAAAAAAAAAAAAAACTTAAAAAAAAAAGTTATTGTTATTTTGCTCCCACCTGGGAAAAGTATCTCCACTGTTAAAAAGAAAAAAAGGGAAAAGGTAAAAAAACAATAAAAATGAGGATGATATTTTGGTAGCCAAGTGGCCAAAGATGAGGGAGCCCAGGACCACTGCACAGGTCCCCTGAGGTGAGACGGGGAGGACGTTTGTTTTCCTTTGGTCCCAAAGAGCTCCAGGAGCCCTGATACCAAGCTCTCAGAGCTCCCCTAAGTTCAAGTCACCCTCTTTTTCCCTTCTGATCTTGACTTTCCCACCCAAAGCGGCTCCTTTAGGCCTTCACTCTTAGCACAAGCAGCCCCAGGCTTCCCAAGTCTGGCAACAGTTTTAGGAAGGTCAGAGAGAGGAATTCTCCTGGCCAGTAACTCCACATCTGTGTGGGCTTGCCGGTGTTCAAGAAGAAAAGGAAAGAAAGAAAAAAAAAAAGGGAAGGAGAGAGAGGGAGAGGGGGAGAGAAAGGGAAAAGGAAAAGGAAAGAAAGAGAGAGGGAGGGAGAAAGGAGGGGAGAGAGAGAGAGAGAAGGAAGGAAGGGAGGGAGGGAGGAAGGAAGGAAGAGGAAGGGAAGGGAAGGAGAGGGAAGATAAAGAGAGAAGAAAAGACGGGAATGAGGACAAGCAGCAGAGTTTTCCAATCTACATGCGCCTCTCAGCAGAGCTGAAGCACACACAGGGAGAAACAGAGCCCTGTTGACTCAAGCCAGGGGCTGGGAACACGGGGCCGGATGCTGGGCGCTGCGGCTCTGCCTGCCTTACCTGTGGGCTTTGTGCTCTTGGGCTACCTTCTGGGTTAGCTCCTCCAGGACGGCCTCTTCCAGGGCCAAATCCTAAAAAAAACCAGAAAGCCGGTAAGGTCATTTACCGTTTTGCTTGTAAACCTTAAAAGCCCTCTTCTCCAGCAGATGTCCTACTGGGCCCCCACTCGGAAACCTCACCTTTACTCATTCAAATGAAAGGTGCTAATTTTTAGGGCTGAGGGTTCGTTTTTGTTTTTTTTACTTTACTAACATGGCTCTCCACTGCATATTTGGGGTTGTCACCTAAATTCTGTAGGGTCTGGAATAGCTTTTTTTCCACTCACCGTCTTCTTCCCTGTTTGCCTCTCAGACTCCCTTATTAAAAATGCTTTCTGAGTACTTATAGCTTCTTACCCATCGGGATATGATAGGCAAATGAGTTTCCAGGCCCTCGTCCCTTCAAAAGCTGAGCCTAGGAAGGGACTGTGCCCGGCCTTTTTGTCCATCAGCAGCACAATACCAGCAAACTGAGTCAGAGCCACCTGAAGGCAGAGCAGGCTCATTCACAGGTTACCTGATGGAGCTTTGGGAGCAAGAGGCCGTCATGGCTAACGCGCCTTGAAGGAGCTCTGTACAGTAAGAGCTGTGTAGCTGACCAGCTGGGGTCTTGAGCAACTGAATCCCAGGCCCCTGGGACCAGTGGTGTGTTGGCTCCCACAGGATTAGAGCCAATTGCACATTTCTCTTCCCAACTCCCCTTCAATGATGGAGGAAGTATTTACCGGGCTTGTTAAACATTTACTGGCAAAACTCTGTCTGCGATGGAGAGATGGCGTCTGGAGGAGTAAAGTCAAGACAGGGAGACCTGAGCAATCAGTTCCTGAGACAATGACAAACGTGGTGATTCTAGAGCTTGGCTTATCCCCGTTAGTGGCCTAAGGAGGCTCAAGCCATGGGGGCCAGCTGCCTCCAACCTTCCCAGGCTGGTGAGCATGGCGGAGGGCACCGATGTGTCTCGTTGTCCTCTGAGCTCCACAGGGGTGTGAAAAGGGGCTCTGCACTGTGTGTCTTGGTGAGGCCCTCTGAGGCTCATAGTAACATTGAGGGTGGAGGCCTGGGGGCTACTACTTGGGCAGGAAATGTCCCAAATGCCTCAAATCCTTTGATTCTAAAATACCATTTATAATAAAGATTACCTCCAATTTAACCACTTTTCATCAATGAAACACTACCCCCAAAAAGGTCCATCTCAAAACTGCAAGAAACAGCCCATCTCAAATTATGAAAATGTGAAAAATCAGTACTGTTTAAAGCTGGACAATGAGAGTGTAACTATATATTAGAAATTCGATTGCTCTGCAGATGGTCATGAGAGACCTTAGAGAAAGGAGATGGAGGGAATTACTAGCAGTTATTTTTCATGTGTTAACTGATTAATCTGCTGTTTCCTGTTTAGCCATCCATTGAAACGACTCAAGGTCAGGATCGGAAACAAGCTTGACATTTTCAATTTTATGCTGTGGAATAACAGATACTCCAAGGCCTTAGATTTAGCTCTGTCTGCATCCAGGCATTGAATATAGTAGTAATAGCCTGATAATAATTTTGAAAAGCTAATGAAAGGCATGTGGCAATCGAATAAAATAAAAAAGATTAAGTGAAGATCAAAACGTGCTCCACTAAACCTCTGCTTCCTACCTTTTAAAGAAGAAAATGTCCACAGGTACCCCCTCCGCTATTGTGCTCCCTCAACAGCCTCCATCTGCGTCTGGGGCCTCTCTGAGGTATGTGCCCCGGCCACAGAGACGGGCGCAAGTGGCCCCGCATGAATGAAAAATGGCAGAGTGCATGCCTGTACACAGCTGCACACCTGTGGAGCGCCCTGTGTATTTAACTTTGTTCTTTTCTCGGCTGCAGAAATGCCATTTGACAAATTCGGTTACTTTATAAGATCAAACACAGCCATTCATCCCATCTTCCCTCCCCCCACTAAAGGAATGCATTCTTCTCTTTCAAAGCCCTACTGGAACCAAACAGAAAGTTTACAACCTGCCATGGCTCCCCACTGCCTCCTCAATTAGGTCAGCACCTGGGCTGGGCATTCAGACCCCGTCCCTATGACCCAGCCTTCCCTCCCAGACCTCCTCTCGCAAGGGCTCCCGGTTTCGGGCACACTCTTCTTCCTCAGACAGACGGCTTTTACATCTCCGCTCACAAGGGTGCCGACCCGGGCCCATCACATCCCATCAAGGGAAATGTCACCCGAGCTGAGATCCCGTCTCAGCTACCATTCCTTTGACAGGATTCCATATTCCCGCGAGCTGGCTGGGCACCATTCCCCCGCAGGGCCGATCTCTCCTGCTCTGCGTGTCTGTCTTCGAGCCCTCACCATAGCCTGCCTCACGTAGTTCTTTGTACACTCATTGTACCCTTTGTCCTTGTGCTTTTGTAACAGAGACAGGATAATGCTGGTAGTGAGAAGAATGACAATGATGATGACGATGACCATAAACATGGAGAATTTACCGTGTGCCAACTTGGTACTTCACATGTATTCTCCCCTTTCACCCTCACAATCGAATTAAGACTTATTCTCATGATTCTCATGTTTCTATGAGAAAATGGTCACATACATTGCCCAAGTTCATCCAGTCACACAGCCAGTAAGAGGTGCAGCTAGAATGTGGGCACAGGATGCTGGACTCTGATATTCTGAACCTCCTGACCGCAGGCTAAAGAGGGGGTGGGATGGGGTGGGGGGGTGCCTGTTAACGTACATGACTGATAACAAAAGCCTAGGAATTCGCCATTCAGATATCACACTGACGTCAGCTTCTGCCGCATCATCTTCACTGATGATGGAAATGTCCTGTATCCGAGCTTTCCAGCACAGTCACCACGAGCCATCTGTGGCCAGTGAGTGCTTTTTAAATGTGGCTAATGCAATTGAGGAACTGAATTGGTAATTTTATTGAAACTTAATTTCATTTCAATTTGAATGTAAATAACCATTGGCCACTAGTAGCTAGTGGCCTGAAGAGGGAAGTTTTAGATCCAAGAATAACAACATCAATATTTGTCTGTCTTGGTGAGATTTGACAAGGTCTCCGCTGTTTAAATGTCTGATTTGCTTACAGCCCAGTGGGGAGAGATTCTTATTCTGAAAAAGGTGTGGTACACAAAATAACTCCTTCACTGCTTCATACTTTAACCTGTCAAGGCATTTTAACCATCTATTGGGTTGTCAGAAAAGTCATGACGTATTTTTTCTATATTTTTCGTTGCAAAAATGCGTCATGACTTTTCTGACAACCCAATACAAACTCATAAATGTCATGCTGGTAATCACCTTCGGAAATTCTAAATAGCATCCAAGTCTGGTCTTTGTTGGAAGGCTATGGGATGAAGACTGCTAATGAGAGGAATGTGTGTGTGTGGGGGGAAACTATGGAAAATTATCAACCTAATTCATTGCCTCCATTTAAGGCACCCCCCCCCCCAAAAAAAGCATACTGTCTAAAATTCTAAGGTATGGGCTTCACTTTCCTCCCATCAGGCATCCTGGACAACATCCTGACTTTTCAGGGGAGCTTGGGAGATGTTAGAGATGTTGACTCAAACATGTTGACACTAAATCCTGTGAAGAATTTCTCTGCTAAGAAATATGCTAATCTCTTTGAATGGAGGTTGATTTAATGGGTAGATTAATAAAACATAAAACACAGCAAGCTCAGCACATAAAACTGCTGTTTTCTTGGAGGGGAGAAGAATAAGGATGGAGCTATTCATGAAAAGTTAGAGATACCGCAGTTACTTCCCTAACCTATAAGAATAAGGTCCGTTCTGGAATTCTGAACTGAAATTCATCTCGTGCACTGACTGTGGGTAATGACGACAGCCTGGTTTCTCTGAGCCGCTCAAAATTCTATCACCAGACACTCTACTTTCTCCCAGATGCTGCAGCAGATCACATGCCAAGTTCTGCCCATTTTACTTCCAAAGTTGCGCTTGCTTTGCTTTCTTGTTTTTATCTTCACTGCTGACACCTAATTCATATCTCTTGCCAAGAAGCCACAACCAATTCTCATGTGACCTCCCACAAATGGTCTCATTGCTCTAATCCAGCAGTTCTCAAAGTGTGGGGCCTGAAAAGCCCTGGATGGAGCTCACGTATTCTAATTCTTCAGATGTTTCGGTCTCGTCTGCCACCTTCAGGTCCCCTCTCATGCCCGAGTGACAGTCATACTGGCTCACTGACTCTTACCCAATCACTCGTACCACTTTGCCTCTGCCTCTCTCTGTCTAGATCATTCCTTGCTCCCTGCCTCTCACAATCCTGCCCACCCTTTAAGATGCAGCTCACACACCATTAGCCTTTAAACCTTCCCTAATCCCCCAGGCACATGTAACCTCTCCCCACATAAAATCTTGATGTTCTTTATTACACTTGGCCTTGAATTTGAATTTTGCAAACTTCCGACTGACTCAACCACTTTGTTGTCTCCCTGAGAACAAGCCCTGTGTCTTATATAACTTCATCCCCCCCGGGGGGTTAGTCACCCAGGTCAGTGCTTTGAGCCAAACAGTGGATCAAAAAACTAAATTGTGAATGATCGTGATTTCTAAGATCAGAGCCAGAATGTTGGGAGTGGAAGTTAGCTCTTCCCTGACAATGCTTTTCAATTGTTTTAATTCTTCCTCATTCGAGCTCTTCTCATTTACCCCATAGCTACCAAAAAAATTAACAAAGATTCCCGAGGGATTAAAATCTAGCCTCATCCCTAATTTAACCCAGGAATAGACATTTTACTTCATGGCTCATTCATTGAACTTGTATGAGCACAAACTATATGCTAGACCACAGTGGGCAAGACAGAGAGGTTTCCTGCTTAAGGATCACAGAGATGACATTCTAGCTGACAAGAAAGCGGAGAGGAAAGGAAAATAAAGGGAAAAAAATGTTTAGCTACAGAAAGAGCTCTGAGGTACATACACAGGAAAGGTGATTTAGCAGGAAGTGGCTGATGGTTGCAGAGTACCATGGAGTGGGTCAAGGGAAAAAAAGTCCTCTCTAAGGAGGTGATATTTGACTCAGGACCTGAATGACAAGTCATAGGAAGGTCTCAGGCAGAGCACTTCAAGCAAAGGGAACCCAAGTTCAAAGGCTCTGGTTTGGGAACAAGCTTGGTGTGTCCATAAAGGAAAGGAGTCTGGAGGATAGCTATGGTGGCGGTGATGCTGGGGGGTGTGGGGGACAGAGAAGTGTCTTGGGAAGTGTGTGGCATCTTTACTTTTCCAGTGTTTTACAAAACTTGTCCGTACTTTATAAATGCATGGACTCTCCTCCCAAGGGAGTGCATGTGTGTATGTGTGTATGTGTATGTGTGTGTGTGGTGGTGGTGGTGGGGGGTGTAAAATGCTCTGAGATTTCCAAAGGAAAGATTCAACATCCAAAGAAGGTAGAAAATTAATTATGAAAAAGGAAATTACACTTACCATAGGAAACAGCACATATTCTCTGAGGAAATCTTGAGAATCAAAGTGATTGTAGTCTCCAAAATCAGCTGAAAAGAAGGGCGGAGGGGTAGTATAATATTTATCACATGAAATTAAAGATGGACTAAGCTACCATATTTCTTTGGGTTTTTTTTTTTAAAGGTTTTATTGGAGAATTGGGGGAGGGGAACAGCATTAGGGAATCAGGGAAGGGGAACAGACAAGTTGCTGCCCTTTTGTTCTTCAGTCTAGTTGTAGAGGATGTCGCTTCACTGGCCCATGTTGGTATTGTGATCACTGCAGTCTTCCCAGGTGAGGCAGATTACTCGCTGGCCATTGGATGGCCGCTCACGACGGCTCACGGCAGCTCATGCTGGCTGCCGGCCGCTCATGTCGGCTGCCAGCCACTCACGGTAGCTTAAGGCAGCCCACTGCAGCCTACGCCGTCGCCGGCGACTCACAGCAGCCCAGCTCCAGGTTGAGCTGTTGTTCACCATCTTAGCTGTAGAGGGCGCAGTGTCACTGGCCCATGTGGGATCCAAACTGGCGGCCCTGCCAAGCCAACTCAGCCAACACGCCACTTGGCCAGCCCTAAGTTACTGTATTTCATCACATTTATCCTTCCCATGTCATCCTCTTTCTACACTGTTATTAAATAAAAAACAGTGCCAAGATGTGTTTTAATATTGTTACTATGTTTACTTAGCAATACAGTCAATATCAGCATGTGAGCACAGCCACACAATTTTCTAGAAAGAATGGGGAAATTTGAAAGTAATTCCTAAGCTATTTCTAAAATAAAAACCAAACCCATATTTATCTTTTTGTTAAATATGCCTCAACATATATCTTAAGAATATGTGCCAAGGGGACTTTCTAACTCAAGGTTAATTTAGAGAACTGAGGAGCCAAACCTGTCTCCATCTCTTCAAATATTTGCAGCTGGAAATTCCCACTGTAAATCACCCTTGGCAAACAACCTTGCAAATCTTTACGCCTCCTACTAAACATCTTCACATGGTGCAAGATGCCAAAACTTCTGTTTTGTCCTGTTTTCATCTCACCCTGGTATGTCTAAGCCAGTGTAAAATGAATACAGTGAGCCTGTATCATAAATTTATAAAGGCCTTGCTCTAATCCCCCTTGCTCTCAAAGAAAAAAAGAAATCAAAGTAGCATGGAATTTTAATTTCATGTAAAAGATTTAGCATCAAGTAGAAACGGATTCAGGTAACTTTAAGGTAACATGAGATATAGAGTGCCAGGATCCACACAGTAGGCCAGTGGGAAAGGCACTGCCGAGAAGGCAGAGATACACGTGACTAATTACCAGCTAGGTGAGGCTTTCGGGAATAGCAAAGATCATGCGCTCTGCCTATTTTCAAGTTGAGTCATCCATATTTCATTACAACTTATATCTCTGTTGATGTGTCTTTCTAACTGCCCAATAAGGGCTCTCAGGACTGAACAGCTAGCTGCAGGGACCCAATGAGCAGGGGATGTTGAGTAAGTTCACCAACTTCCTTCAGCCTGAAAGCTATCCCCAGGGTCTTCCCGTATCCAGGATGCCTATAATAAGCCTACTGGTGGAAGAATGCAGGGGAAGCAAATAAAGTGAACAGGAAAGGCAGCTTTTTAAAAAAAGAAAGATCCAGTTTCAAGATGAGGGACATATTGGATCTTCTTTCTCCCCGTTAAGGGTGTCTTTTTCCATTATTTTACTGATTTGTCTGTTATAACCACTGATGGCTACATTGTTCTCGGCACTGTTCCTTCCTTTTCCGGTCTTTAAATGGACAGATGGGATCCAACATTATTTTCTGTCCTTCCAACCAAAGGGTAACAACAGAGGTGAACTACTACTAGGAATTGTACAGCCAACAAAAACTGCCAACCTGCTGATACTCCAGGATGAAAGAGGTCAAGGGAAATTTTAGAACCCAAAAGATTCAACTACAGTTGAGTCTGAAGTTCAGTTCACAGCTTCTAAAATAACAGCCCACATAGCAAGGATTCAGCAGCCGGCAGGCTTACATTCGGACATTAACTGATTTTAAAGAAAATAGTGACTGAAAGGGAAACACGTTTCTTTTAAAAAAATAGATTTTTATCTTCTTGTTTGGAATATGACTGCAGACAATTAAGACACCACTCAACAAACAGCAATGTATAAATACATGTAAATTATGTAACGTGTAATATAAATATATGTAAAAATATCTGTAACAATTTAGAGATTAAAAAATAGCTGTCTGATAGGCTAGGTTGAAAGATAAGTTTAGTCCAATACACGTTTGTTGTTTCACATTACAACTGTGCATTTTAAATTTATCTCTTTAACTGTGTAAGAATAGATTGTTGTGTAATGTTTAAAACTATCACATTTGAAACGGATGTGAAAGTCACACAGTCATAGCATCAAGCCACATTAGATGTGGAATAATTCTGAGAAAACGTTCCATCAACCCCGAAACGCAGTTTTAATTAATGGCAGGATGAAAGCTGCTATTTCTTCAAATAAAAGTAAATTAGACAGGCATGAGCCATTTGCAAACAGCTTTGAGAAGTCCACTATCCTGCCACTAAAAACCACTAACTGCATTTTTAACACAGGATGTCCTGTGGTCATGACCATCTCTTACCTTGCACAGCTAAGCCCGCCAGCCGAACCACCTGTTCCAAGGTACACCGCAATCGGCCTTCAAGCACATCTTTTTTGACTTGCAGGTAATACTGATATCTATTCATGGGAACAGAGGAAGAAATAACCTTAAAAACACATACTTGGAATATATTCCCACTACATCGATGTCTTTAGATGTAAAACCTTGTGTCCACAGCAGGATACACAGGTGATGTTGATAAAGGTCAGCTCTCTAAAAGATGGACAGTGACCTCTGCCTGTGTTTATCTTTGTTTGATGTGGCAGGTGCCACATCCAGTTCGTTTCTGAGTCTGAGAGTGTTCTCAGCAAATCATTTCATTGTGGGCCAGCAGGATGAATGACTGATAAGGACCCGTTCTTCATAACAGAGATCGAGATTGAAAATACCCGTCCACACCTGGACACCCACAACAACACAGCTGCCAGAGCTACGTTCAACAGTGTGCATTCCTGAACAAATTCTGGAAACACACCGGTTTTTAAACTCAAAAAAGTTTCGTAGAGTAGATCACAAACAGGCCAAACATTTGCAATTCTGCTAATGGATACGACAGAACTCATCAGAGCCGAGTTCACTCTACATGTCGGTAACTCATAAAAATTGAATTCCATGCAATACGGAGCCGTCCAACCGAAGTACATTCTCAAACCAATGAAGTACAGACAGACATAATGTGTCTGTATACAACATCAAACCTCAGAATAGACCACTGTTCTCAGAAGCTAACACAATGTATTGTTTCTCTGCCAAGAAAATTATACTCTTAGCATTACCTAAACATTTAGAAATCTCCTCACCCCAAACCTTTATGTCCCAAGACTCCACTTCCTTTGATCACAGTCTTAAACACAGGCACCTCTACAATAGTCAGAGTCTTCCAGCATTAATTCCTGGCAAACGCTAACCTTTTTGCTCCTGGTAACCGTTAACGCTCTACTTTTGCTCAACTTTGACATATTAATCAAGGGAACTCTGAAGTCACCCAAAGCCCAAGTCCTTTGGAGAGGCAATCAACACTGAGAGCTAATTGTTGCTGGCTCTAGCTCCATATCATGGCTATCCTTCCATAGTCATCAAATGCCTGTTAGAATATTCAGGCTCTTCGCCCACTCCAGCCTACCTTCTACTTCTCCTCTCCTCTTGGGTCTACTGGACAGGGTAAAGACAACCATGTCCGTTTCTGGTGGGAGAAACCTGTACTCAAATCAGAAGGACAAGGGTGGCCAGTTAGCTCAGTTGGTTAGAGCGCAGTTCTCTTAACACCAAGGTTCCGGTTCAATCCCCATGTGGGCTGTGGAGCTGCGCCCTCCACAACTACAGTGAAACAACTATGGGACTTGGAGCTGATGGGTCCTGGAAAAACATACTGCTCCCCAATAAAAAAATTTTTAGAAAAAAGTTAATGTAAAGACATTAAAAAAAAATCAGAAGGACAAATACTGGGAGTTATTTAAAAAAACCTTTTTAGTCAAACAAAATATAATAGAAAAACAATCTTTTTCCCCTATTCCCATCCTTTCAACCTAAATTGAGTCAATACTTTTACTTCCTGTCCACATCATTTGACCAAATCCATGAATGTATATAACACACTTATTAAGCACTTCCTGTATGTTTAAGTCTGCTGGAAGCCAAGGGGCATCCTGGAGAGGTCTGATACAGTCTCTCCTTGCAGCGGGGGGTGGGGGGCGCACGGGTGTCACCCTCGCTTAGACCACTGCTGTCCTGTTTCTCTCTCTAGTGTACTATTAAAGGTTCAATTTTTAAGAATCGACGAGTAAAACATTTTAAAAGGTGTCATCCTGTCATTATCTGGCATAACTAGAGACTTTTTGCATGTAACCTTGGAAGTGGAAATGATCAGCTGACACCTTTGGGAACAGACCACTAACTAATCCACAGGATCCAGCAAAACAATAGTTCTCGTTTTCTTCCCCTGCGGATCCCAACTTTCCTCTGCAACTATCACTTCCGTAAGGTATGAGCACGTTCTATAATAGACCCACCCATCCTAGGCAATGGTGAGTGCCAACCTACTAATAGGGAACACCAGGATTGCTCCTGGTTCTTTCGGTTGGATGTGGGCATGTACTGGGATACAAAACCAAGGAGCTGAAGAATGCAGTGCCCTTTCCTGGAAGCCATCCAGCCTATGCGAGAATCTGAGCTGCGTTAATGTTAATGGTGCAACTACCACATGAGAGTGTGATATTACTACATGAGCTCTCAGAAATGAGAATGAGATTTGGGCCACTTTGGAAACTATTTGCCACATTTTTGCACAAAGGGCACTTTTATAAAATATAATAATTCTATCTCAGATGAAGACTAAATTAGAGAATATGAGCCGAAACTCTATTTCTAGAATGTTTGGCTTCTGCTTATTTTTGATTAGCAATTCGATGCTAACAGCAGTAAACTATAACAGTGAGTCCTATTTTGGAAACATGCAATTTCATGGAAGTATACTCCACCCTGTCATAGCATTGGGTGGAGGGGAAAAGAAAAAAAAAAACTTAATCCTCATGCCAGGAAAGTAAGGACCTGCCAACTTTCCGAAGGGATCCTCTTTGAAAACCCAAGCTCACAAGGAAAGCTTTTAAATCTTTTTCAGTTTCAAAGACCTGGAAATCATCTGACTGCTGAGGTCCAACGAGGGGTTGTAGGTTAGAGCTCTGCTCTCCCTCTAAGAATTGGTGAATACAGTTATGCTTGCTGATTAAAGGAGAAAATTCCATTTTCCAAGTTTTTTGTTTTGTTTTGATTAATTTGTGGATTAAATGTAGGTTTCTCTGGATGAAACAGAAAAGCCTTCCCAATAACCAGCATTACAACTGGACCCTGACAGATAACTACAAACCAATTTCTGAAAGTCTCACCTAGCTGGAATATTTCTACCCAATCTCAAAATAAGTGACTTTTCTCTGTTCCTTCCTCCCCCTGAAATACTGAACAGGAAGTTTTAAAAAAATGCCAGCCCAGATCAGATCAATAGAACATTCAGCACTTTTGACAGTGGTAGCAAAGAACTCTTTCAAAATCACACTCCCATAACATTATCCCCAAAGTTTACAGATGTACTGCAAAGGTCTTTCATCTCACTTTTTAATTCACATGTGAGGAATTTCTCTAAGCACTTCTGCAACTCTGTTTGACTCACAGGTCTGTTCCTACTTCTCAGGCTGAGAAATTTCATGGACTGTCCTAGCACAGAACCACAACTAGGGCGGGAGGAGCTCGGAGGCTAACTACGTGTTGCCTTTAAAATATTCCCCCCTCCGCCCCCAGAAGCGAAATAGCCATTCCAAGTCCAGTTCAGCAGAAGTGCCTCAAGTGGGGAATAGCTGTGAAAAGATGAAAGCCTTCCGATCGGATGTTGGTTATGCTTCTACCTAAGGACTCAGCATCAACCACAAGACGGCAGAGACAAGGGGTGGGAGGCCACCAGTGCTGTTCCAAATGTTTGCTGCTGCTCTCCATGGGGCCTCCCCTGAGACAGTCATACCTGCCTACCTCATTAACTCTGTGACTAGATTGGGGGTCCATGAAATGGGGGTGCAAGTGACACGTGCCACTCCCAAGCAGAAGCCTTTTGAGCCAGAGCCTGGCTCCCATCTCCGTGTCACCTGCCCTGAGACGTGCAGTGTCCAGATAGGGACTTCAGCTCAGTTAGCCTCAAGCCCAGGGGCAGAAGGCAATGGACACAGCAGACATGTAAGGTGGGCAAGGAACAAGCCTTTGTTTTTGAAGGCCACAGAGGTCTGAGGTGTCATATATTGTCGTCGCGTTGAGTTAGCCTAAACTATTTAATAAGGGAAGAATTTCAAAAGGCCAAGTCCAACCCCTGTGTGTTTAGAGCAAGAAACTTTGTGAAGGGGGGAGAATGACTTGCCCAAGGTAACACTGCTCCTTGAAGGCAGGGCCAGACAGACCAGAGGTTGGAGCTCTTCTCCCTCATGGCAACCACCCAGGTGATGAGAGCAGGACCTGATTCCCCACCATTGCAGGCAAGTCATCAATTTCACTGAAGTCTACAAATAAAAACACCACTACTGGGTGGTTTTTATGATCCCAATGCTTCGAAGGAAGGGCTTCAGTAACCACGCTGCGCTCCCGCCCCCATTAGGTTGTCTGTGCCACAGCATTTGAGGCAGACGCTGACATGAGAAGCTTTCCTGAAAAAAACATATTACAGGACATGTTTTGTAAGTCAGCCATGGATTATTGAGATCTGTTTTTTTCTCTTAGCCATAGGTCTCGGGGATGTTGCGCTTTCCTCCCCCAGAGGTACCAGGAAGGGAAAGAAGACGGAGCTATGCGTTCTAACTAATGGTTAACAACTTGAGAAGATGCACAGAAGCATAGAGTATAACCTGGACATCAGGTCTCTGATTGTAGGCTCCTACCTAGAAGAGGAGGCTACACCCAGAAGCAGGTACACACTGGGCCCTGAAGTGTATGCATTTCCAAATGCAGATTTTTTTTGTTAAAGTGAATTGGAGTTCATCATCAGAGTCACACAAGCCTTTACGGACTCTTGCACTGAGTAAACATACTTCTGTATTACAGATCATAGAAAAGTTATCCAGGCTTCATTCTGTTGCAACCTTAATGACACCCGATGAAGTTGTGGTTGTAGGACCAGCACCCATCACCCATGCATTGCTCCTTTTGTCCCCATTGCCCAAGGAAATCTGGGGTGGAAAGAAAATGCTTTTTTACAGTTAAAAACAGGCTAGTGAAACACTGTAAGCTGTAACTATGGGCCTGCAGCATCACTGTTATTATCAGACAGCTCTGTCTGCCTGCCTTTCCCTGCCCTGCAGTTCAAGGTCAGGCACACCAACCTGTCTCTTCTCACAGGTCAGTGGGGATGTGACAATTTAGAGAAAGGGGGCGTACCAATACCACCCTTAGACTCCTCTGTCTGTGAAACCTTTCCACAAAACTACTGAGGTGTGTGTGTGTGTGTGGGAGGGGGGGAGCTTGTGCTTGTTTTGTCATTGTTATTAAGAAAAGGGTGAGACTTAAAAAGCCCTTTCCTCACTAGAAAAGTTCCTTTACAATCAGGCAA